ACATAACAGTCACCCTGGCATTTCCTTTCACTACAATACGGGGAGTAGCCGTCATCTTTCTCCTGTGTTGACGGTTGTCTTCCAGATGTTGTTTTTTCCTGTTTCTTGCTTTAATCTCTCACTTATGATAGTGTCCATGGGAGGCGAGTCAGTCAGCAGTCCAATGGGGGAAAAAACCCAACCCCAAATTCATCGCCATTGAGTTGATGCCCACTCGTAGCGACCTTATAGGACAGAATAGAAGTGCTCCTGTGGGTTTTCAAGACTGTAACTGTTTATGGGAGTAGAAAGCCCTGGATTTCTCCCGAATATGGCCAATTCCAAAAAGGAAGTTGAAGAGCTTATTGAGCAAACAAATCATTTTCCAAAGTGTGGGTAGGGTGAAAGAAAACCAGCAAGGGGCACGAAAGAGGAAGCTGTTATCCATGAAGTCTGAAAGGGTATAAGGGGAGAGGCGATTGTCAGAATCTAGCGTGAACCGTAGCTCTAAGAGACGGGCTGCCAACAGGCACTCTGGCTATCACTTGAGGAATGCAGAGGCTCTGCCAGGCAGGGAGCGAGCAGAGGAAATAAATAATCCAACCTCTCTCTTCTTCTGCCCTCTGGTTTTCTGCTTATGCCTTCCATTGGCTGCATCTGATCAGAAACCAGGATGCAAGGCGTCTGGGTGGATGCACTCCACAGATAGAGAGATGGCGACTCTCCGGGCACAGAGCAGGATGGAGAAAGATGGGAGGTGCATCTTAAGATTTTGTCACTTCCCTCAGAGTTCTACTATTTCAAGATAAAACACTTTGGCATTTTTCTAGCATTATGCTATAAGGGTCCCTGGATTAGGTGCTGGACAGGTATACCTGTGGAATGTCTCTATGCCCTGGAACTGTAGACAATACTAACACAAGTGCCCAGTCTCCTGAATCATTACACTGTTGCATTAACAACCATGAATGATAACCCTAACCAAACTCACTGCCAGTAAGTCAATGCTGACGTCTAGTGACGGACCCCCTGTGGGCTTCAGAGACTGTAACAGGGTAGGTGGGTAGAAAGCCCAGCTTTTCTCCTGAGGAGCTGCTGGTGGTTTCAAACTGCCCACCATTCAGATCGCAGCCCAACTCATAACCACTATTCTGCCAGGGTTCCTACGTTCATGAATGCTAGCTGGCCATTATTATAAACCTGTGGATAATGCAGGAGTTGCAAATGGTGACTACGCTCTGGCTAACTGAAAGATGGGTCCTTTGAGTTCACTCAGAAGTGGTTCAGAAGAAAAGTCTTCCTAGCTACTTCTGAACAATCAGGCATTGGAACCGCCGTGAGGGACAGTTCTACTCTGACATGCAGGCTCCTCAGGCCCTTGGAATTGGACCTGAGCCCCTATGGATAGGGCAGAAGGCACAAATTTTCCAAACTTTGCATAAGAAAGACTTTGTGAGACTTCACAGGTATTTTAAATATCACATCACTCCTCTTATAAATGAGCCACATCCCAAGTCATCTGCTCAGAGTCACACAGGAGGAAGTAGTAGAATTGAGGATTTAAACTCAGGCATTCTGCCTCTATCGTCTGTGTGCTTAACAATCAGACTGCTTCTCCCTTGGCTGAATTTTTTTGAAAAGCAACATCATAGAAGACAGAGAGTCTTTGAAGTCTTCTAAGCGAAAGAGTGTGGGAGCATAATTCAACCAGCTCTGTCACTGATGATGGTGGGAGGGACTGATTTAACTAGGGTTAGACCAAGACAATGAAGCTATCTGCACAGTAAACATATGGAGATGAGGAGGATGTGAGTTAAGGCACAACCATCACAATTAATTGGCTAATCTTGGGCCTCTGTTTCATTAACTGAAAAATACACAGAATATCGAGGTTGATGGTTTATTCTGAGGATTGCAGGAAATGACATGAGCAAAACCCCTGACAATATTAAGGTTCTACTATCCTAGAATTGCTGGGCACATCTGCTATACAAGACATCAAAGTGTGGAGGAGCAAGGAGGTCACTTTGAGAACGAAGGGGCTCTGATTCAGACCATGGCATTTTCTGTGGCCTGATGTGCATGTGAAAGTTGGACCATGACTAAGGAACACTGAAGAAGCATCGACATATTTGAATTACGATGTTGGCAAGGCACAGTGAGACACAGCACAGACTGCCAGAAGAAAAACAAATCTGTCTTGGAAGAAGTAAAACCTGGGTTCTCCTGAGAAGTAAGGATTTTGAGATTTTTGAGAATATCATCAGGAGAGACCAGCCCCTGGGAAAGGATAGAAGGTCAGTGAAAACAAGGAAGATCCTCAATGAGATGGATTGACACGGGGGCTGCAACGTTGGCTCAAACAGAACAACTACAGTTAGGACCGTACGTACCACTCAACAAGACCGCGCCTCGTCCGCACTGGGCTCAACTCGACACATCTAACGACAACAAAAACAATCACAGAGAGCGGGTCAAAATCCTAGTTTTGCCTCTTACGAAATGGCAGAGTTGTTTATTAATATTTCTAAGTTTCTGTTTGCTCATTTATGTTATGGGTATTAAAGTAAGAAAATTACGTTAGTAAAAGAAAAAGAAATACAAACTTGTGGGTTGAGATCATTGGTTTGGATGAAGCCAGAATTCCTCCTAGAGAAAGAACTGAGGTTGTGTTTTAGAAAAACACCTTAATGAACTTGAGTATTGATGAAAGTCAAGTCTCTCTGGGTATAACTAGAAGGAAAGAGGTGGAGGAGAATGAAATGTTTCTTCTTAATAAAGCAATAGACAATTTTAGCTTTCCTCTGATGCCAGGGGGATTTCGAGATCTTGGAATCAAAGAGATGGAGTCAGGAACCATAGAGGTGCTGTGTGACTAAGCATTGGGCTGCCAACTGCAAGGTTGGAGGTCTGGGGTTCAAACTCACCAGGCACCTGGCGAGAGAAACATCGTCCCACTCCCTCCAGTGAAAAAGAGGTAGACCTTCAACGACATGGATTGACACAGTGGCTACAACAATGGGCTCAAGCATAGCAAAAGTTGTGAGAAGGCACAGGACCAACAGTGTTTCCCTCTCTTGTACATAGGCTCACTGTGAGTCTGAACTCAACTCACTGCCATCAAGTTGATTGTGACTCATAGTGACTCTAGAAGACAGAGGAGATCTGCCCTGGCCTCATCTGTCTCCCATGGAGCAGCTGGTGAGTTTGAGCTGCTGATCTTGTGATTAGCAGTTCAACATGTAACCAGCCCTTTGGCATAGTGGATTACGAGTTGGCCTGCTAACTGCAAGGTCGATAGTTGGAAACCACCAGCTGCTCTATTCCTGTAAAGATCAACAGTTCTACTCTGCCTTGAGAGATCACAATGAGTCAGAATTGCCGGAGGGCATTCATTTTGGTTTATGAGTTATGAATCAGAACTGACTTGAAGGCACCTGACAATGAGTTGCATTCTATTCCACGGCATTGTTTTCTTTGTTTGTTTTTTTGTGTAGGCAGTCTTGCCATCTTTCACGATCCAGTCTATTTCTCCTGTGGGAGCTAAAGTGATCTTACAACCAGGATTATCTGCCCAAGGTTTTCTCTGCTTCCCTAGTATACAGTAGTACCTGATGCTTAGACATTTTTTTTAAGTTCAAGGACTGTTTGTTGGCCTTTAGGAGTGTTTTCCAGTCCAGTCTGTTGGGGCGCCAAGCCCTGGCCCCAAAGTCTATTTTTGGTATTCCCTGGGGACTTCGTTGCTCTGTTCCCTTGCTGTTCTATTGTACACCCTTAGTGTTTTGCCTCGGTGTGCTGGGATCAGATGGGGCAGAATTCCCACACTGTGTCTCCAGTGTTGTCCCCTGTAGGGCTATGGGTCAGTGAGGGACGTCGTGTCTCATAGTGGGGCTGGCCATGTGGTCTTCTGCCTAGACATTTCTTGTTAACACTTGTGGAATGAATGAAGGGATGATTGCATAAACGATCATTTAAACCCGATGACAGGTTGATTTCTAAAGAAAAGGACAGCCACTGAGAAATTCTCCAGAGCAGGAGTGGCTTTGGACACATATGTTTCCTATTCATTTTAAAGTAGTTGCCGTTCTGTGCTATGCTGTAACCACGCTCCCTCCCCCCACCCCTCAGCAGCCTTCAGCAAAAGTCTGTTACTCACAACTGCACCTTTTTTGGGGGGAGGGGGGGATAAAGGAAAGAAAGTGTCTAGAACCAGGCAAAACAAAATCCAAAATGCTTGTCGCCAGAAGAGGAAAGCGAATGAACAGGATCACTCAGCAGAGCAGGTGCTTTTAAGGGAGAGGTTACCAGATCATCTGAAATGTTAGGGAAGGTGTGATGCTCTCCTTATTCTGGGCTAGTCGAGGAGCCCTGGTGGTGTAGTGCCTATGCAACTGGGCTGTAACCTCAAGGTCTGCAGTTTGAAACCACCAGCTACTACTCTGTGGGATAAAGACGGGGCTTTCTACAGTCTCAGAAACCCACAGGGGCAGTTCTACGCTGTCCTATGTGTTGGAATGGACTCGGTGGCAATGAGTTTGAGGGTTTTGATCGTGGGCTCTTCTAAAGGAAAGAGCAAGCTGGAGGACTTTGGGACACCTAAGGATGTTAATCAGGTTGGTACCTGATTATTAGGTCACATCAGGTTACATAAAGGCTGATAAAGTTTTGAGGATTAATTGAGACAACGCACGAAGAGCGCTTGGCAAAGTGCCTGGCACATAGTAAGAGCTCAATATATGTTAGCTGTTGCCTTCCCTCCTTTCCTTTTCCTCCCTCTGTTCCTTTTCTACCAGGCTCCATTCATTCTTTTCCAAGGACATGCTGGGGGCGTGTCCACTGCTCCCACCGCCCACTCGGCTAAGCCCCACCCCTCACTTCTCCCGCGATTGGCTCATGAGAGGCGGAGCCCCGCGAAGAGCCCACTACTAAGTGGTAGGGGCGGGGCGCATGCGCGGGCTGGGCTGGGTGGAGGTGGAGAGGAAGAGCTGCCGGAAGTAGGCGGCGGAGGTGGTGGCCGAGCAGGCGGCAGCTGCCAGGGAAACCGAGCCGCCGGCTGGCGGACGGCACGACCAGCAGACAGGCGGGCCGGGGGGCTTCCCTGCGTCTTGCCCTCAGGAGGACCTAGAGCGCCCTTCGCCTGCGCGGCCGGTGCCCGGTCCCCAGGCTGCTCGGGTCTCGGGCCTCCCTACATCCGCCAGGGGGCGCCGCACGGAGGGGCTGCAGCGTGGGGGTCGGGCGGCTGGAGCCAAGGCAGGGGCGCCGGACCCGTCGTGCCGAGGGTGCTCTCCCCCGCTCAGGAGGTGCCCCTGGGCGGGGGGCCCGGAGTCCTTTCACCCGGACGGAGACAGGGGCATCTGGGGCGAGGAGGGCGCACAGCCCCCTGCCCCTGCCGGCACCCTGGCCATGACAGGCAAGTCGGTGAAGGACGTGGATCGGTACCAGGCGGTCCTGGCCAACCTGCTGCTGGAAGAAGATAACAAGTTTTGTGCGGACTGCCAGTCTAAAGGTAGCGCATCTCTGGGCAGGCGGGGGAGGGGTCCGGCTTTGGGGCCGCGCCGTGGGGGTGGGGTGTGTGGGCAGCGGGCTTCGGCCGCGGAGGCCGCCCCGGGGGTCTTTAAAGAGTCACGAGCTGCCCCGGCGGGGGAGCTGCTGGGCGGTCTGCAGCTGCGGGGCTGGCGGGGGCCGAGGTTGCGAGGGCGAGTGTGTGTGTGTTGGGGGGGAGGCACGGGGGGAGGGCTTGGAAGCGGCGTGATGTGTGTTGGTGAGAACGTCCGTCTGTCTGTCTGTATTTTAGGGCTCTGAAGGAGTTGGCAGTCCAAAGGTAGCCTCGAGCTTTTAGCCGCTCATTTGCAAACCTGGGGCGAAGTGTGTGTGTGTGTGTGTGTGTGTGTGTGTGTGTGTGTGTGTGTGTCTGCGCGCGCGTTAAGAAAGGAGGGGGAGGACGGAAGTGAGATGATGAGGACAAAAACTGCTTAGATGGTTTTCAAGGGAAGTGATTGTTGCTGCCTTGCTCTGGTTTAGCAACTACTTCTGTCATGAACAGGCTTGCGACCGCCGGCAGCGCTTACATGACTGTGTGCACAGGATGTGTGCACAGGCAAGCTGCCTTCTGCGGCGACACAGTGCGCATTTCTAGACAGGGTATGGAGAACGTTGGAGGCTGTGTGTGTGTGTGTGTGTGTGTGTG